TCGAAGCCAGTGTCCATCCCCGATCATCATCCTCGACTTTAATTTACAGAGGTAGAGTGGTCTCCACATTTCGGCTGCGACATCGCACTCACTGTACGTTGCCCATATATAACTCGGATGGTCGCTTCAAAAATCAGAAGACACCCTGGTGAACACGTCCTACCCCGCATCCGCGTCCTATGTAACCCACTCTCTCGTTTTCTCTCTTTCTCCCCCCCCCCCCTCTCTCGCTCTCTCTCTCTCGCTCGCTCCTGTCCCACCAGACCGCCGCCGAGTCGCGCCAATGTGGTGCTCCCACTCTGGCTCTGAACTCTGGGAAGTCACACGCACACACCGGCAAATAACGCCCACGCGGCCTGCACGGTAGGCGTGGCCATCTTGTCATTTGTCTCCTCTACTTTCCCCGAGGCGTTAGGGGATCCCCGGGATGGCGCTCTGTTCCTAGCTTGACGTATGTACTGCCGCTACAACCCCCGTTTTCGTATCGCGCTCTTCGTTTTCCGCGCGCCCGCCGCGTTCTCTTCCATCGAGTGCTTTAGAGTCGCGTCCCCACCCCCTTGACCCTTCTACCTTCTGTACCGCCGGTAGTTACTCTCCGTCTCTTTCCGTTTTCCTTCCCGTCTCCCCTGACCGTTGTTTTCCTTCCACACATTCTCTCGCTGTCCCTTTCTCGAGAGATGCCGCCATCCCCCGCCCCATTCGTTGCGTGACAACTTCTTGACGCCAGTCACGACGTCCACGGTCCCTTTTGCCGACGACGATTCTCTTACGAGGATCACGCGCGGCCCACTTCGTCTCTGACCCTTCCGGGGACCTTGTTCCCCGCCGTAATAAGAACGAGTTGGGGCGCCGTCATGTCTGCGAAGTAGTCACCGAGAAACTTGTAGGTTATTCGGTTGACGCAATACCAATCGATATAACACACGAGGAATGTGGGCGAAGCGTTAAAAATGCAATTTGGTCGATCCTGAAGCTGGAAACCCCCAGTTGTGTCGGTCGTAGCTAATCTTTCCTAGCTACTTGGTTACTTTTCCAAATTTTAATTATGTCAAGTTCCAAAGCCTATGTAAAGGCAGACAGCGTCGGTAAACTTAGACACATAGTATAACTAGTAGGTCCACTTCGTCATTTGTTTCGTTTTGCGTCGATCCCTTCTGCGCATCCGACATTGTTCTGGGCAGACCAATGAGAGACAAGTTGTATGCGCGGTAGTGCAGCTTTGATACTCTACCATACATACAAATGGGTCTGTTTTTTATGGCTGCACTCCTGAACTAGTGCACACTGGTGCAATGAGTTGGAATGAGAGGTAATCTATTTGTTTCATTTTAACTTATTGCACTAGTTCAGTAGTGCAGTAATAAAGAACAGGCCTATTTACAGTACGTACACACACATACGCCACTGGATTGCTGCCCGGAATAATGGCGGAATGCCACGTGATCGGGACCGCAAAGATCAAAGGAGCCGACAGAGACTGGACCTACTAGTTGTGCTATGGTACTACAGACTTGTATAGAAGCTGTATGAACTACAGCCTAAAACTCATCTATGTCTCGATGGAAATAAAGATTACAAAAATGTGAATCCTAGTAAAACGTCCAGGCATTAATGAATAAGACTGTACATGCATTCATACCCATTCTATATGGTACACTTGAAAGCTTCCGCTGACGGTATAATAAATTCTCAATTCTCAGATCAATCACGCGTGAACGTTGCACCGGTCATATTATTTGGCAGTAGATCAGGGAATTCGCTTTTCCCCGAAAACGCTCGCACAGACATATCCGCGGTCGTAAACTCCTTGTGTTCGAGGCACACCTCTCGAAATCGAATAGTATGTCCAATATAAACGACTCCAGACGTCACTGCAGACCGATATTTGCTCCGACTGATAAGCCGGGCGATAACTGCGTAGCAATCCCGATTTTGAATAGAGCCGCAAGCCTCATTTTCGCGAGACACACGATCGCAAAGTTGAATAGGAAAGCGCGATCATGTCCGCAACGGAATAATAATTTACGGATACTATTCCTAGTGAAAAGGAAAAAAATTAATGAAATACCAAGTATTATTTGCAAATTGGATTGCCAACAAATTCCAAATCATAGATAATTGTTGAGAATAAAATCGGAACGAAGTTGTAATAAAATTTCCTTCCTCTGATCTTCTCTCCTCCACATTATTCCCTAGTATGAATCGGGCGCGAGAGAGGGGGCAAGATTGACTTCTCGCACAACAGCGCAAGAGGATGCCCAGGTCGTTCCCTTCCACTGTTTTATTTGCGCGTGAGTTTTCAGGTAAACAAACGGGTGATATAGCTATGTATTTCTTACGAAGGCGAAGGGTAATCGCCGAGACCACCCCGGCGGTGGTGGGATCGCGATCTCGCGTGGTCAAGCCGCTACGGGGTCGACCGGGAGGAACAACAAACGATAATCGTCGTAGTACGGCAAGATCCACAAGATCGCCGGTAGAGCTGAAGAGAAAAGAGGAAACGCCACGTGTGCGTGTGCGTTCGCTCGAGGGGGCAAGCACGCCGACCACCGTCGCCACCGTAGGAGGGGCAACTCCGGGTCAAAGGTGGGGTGAAAATCCAAAGGTAGGGATGGACCGAAAGGGATGCGCGTTGGGGTGACACGGAGCGTGAACCGGTGTAACCGCCTCGGGCGACTATGCAACGAATAGAAAAGAGATGCAAAAGATTACAGCGGCGTGGAAAACTCTATTAGAGCGATAATGTTGTCGTAATATTATAGCGAGATGGCTGAAGATGAGGGACAGGCGAGGAGAGAACCATGATGGACTAGGGCACCTGAATAGTTGCCATTGCCGCAGACTTCACGTGTGATACGGGAATTCGGCGCTGGAGATCGCGCGGGCGACGAGATGCGGTAGGAAAGGAACGCCATGCGATTCTGGAAGAAGGGATGCTGCGAGGAAGACGCGTGGAGGGGTTGGTCGGAAGGAGCGTAGAGGAGGGAGGCGGTGGAGCAAGATGACGGTGTGTAAGAGATCGCGAGGTAGCGGGCAAGAACCCGCGTTACGCGGACAAGGATGCACGCGACGGAAGCAGGAGGAGGCGAATCGCGAACGAATAGCACCGAGAGAGACGCGATCGAGATGTGGCGAGTCGAGGGAGGAAAGGAGCGGGCGGCAACGCGAGCACAGGCGTGAGAGATCGTGCCAAGGGGAGCGAGCGGGTGCTAGAGAGCGAGTGACACCGCGAGCACGAGCGAGATGTGCTAGGTGGGGAGTCTGCTCCGGGTGCGGAGGCGAAGAGAGAAGGAACGGATGGAGGGGAGTAAGAGCGAGCGAGCCGGAGGGAGAGGCGCAGTCAGACAGTCAGGCAGGCCGCCCGGCAAGCAAGGAAGGCAGGCAGGCAGGCAGGCAGGCAGGCAGGCAACCAGACAGGCAGGCAGCCAGGCAAGCAAGCTAGCAGGCAGCCAGTGCACCAGCCAAGACCACTAGATCCGCTCGGCTTACCGACTTAGAGACTTAAGCCGGCAGGCAGTCCGAAAGGCTCAACCGGCTAAGCCTGGCGGACCCACCTACCAACCGACTTACGCGGCGCTAGCCACTACGACGCGTTTCATCTACCGGCGGGAAAATCAGGATACACCGCTGCGACCGGCGGTACCGCCGCCGCCGCCTTCTTATATTTTCCTCTGTCGCCGTGTCCCGCTCCGCGCCGCTCCTCTCTGACGTTAAGGGCGGAGGTGCGAGTAGTGACGAGTGCTGCGCGGTCATCATCATCGACGCGCTCGTGCCGACGACGGCGGCGGCGGCGACGTCGACGTCGTTGCCCGCGGCCGCGGTGTTCGACGACGGTCGCGGGTAGGAGACCTCGTCGTTCTCGTACCACGCGCCGTTTGTAAACCGCGCGTAAACATTCCACGTCGTGGATTTCCGGAGTTGAGGACGAGAATTCGAAAGTGGTGATCGGTAATACACGGATCGTGGTGCCGCGTTCGCGCGCGTCAAATTATCGGCGTGACTTTGATCGGTGACAGAAGCCGGTGGATGTTGGCTCTTGGTGAACACCTCGCTGAAGAGAGTGGGTGACGAGAGTGGTGATCAACGTGGTGCTACATGTATTGCAGGGAACCCTGATTACGTCTTGCCCGTCAACCGTGGTGACTCCGAATCGCCAACTCTACGAATGTTTCGAACTCGCGCGGAGCGCGCAAAAGCATGAAGAAGAATCGCGACGAAACTCGCGAACATCTGTAACGATCTACTTCACCAAAGAGGGAAAAATATAGCGAAAGATAAAAACAGTGGAGAAGCAACAGAGGTAGGTGAGTTCACCTACCTCGGGCAGAAAAGGCTTACGAAGATGATAGGGCTGCTAGTTTAGCCTACTTGAGCGACATATTTTATAACTCCTTTTGCTTTTTTTTTCCTTACGTAACGCGGCGACGCTGAACCGACGGTTATCTGATCTGTCAAGTTTCCGTTATAGCGCGCGCGTCGTCCATGTGAGGTCCACGGTGCTTTTCGGGATTCTGGCGTAAATTCGCGACCGTCCACGTATTCCCGTCGGTCCATGTTGCGTACGCGCGCATCCCGTCGCCGCATCTCGCGCCAAAGTTAAAGGGAGCCGAAGCGGAGCACCGACGGTACGACGAACGCGCGCCGTGCCCGTCTCTGGTAAAATCGCACGAGCATTGTTCTCTGCTAAACCTATGTCGAAAGAATCTATCAATCCCATTATTGACTACATCGACAACCGTTACGCATCTTGATAGATACTTGGACCCGACACCTCAAGATTCTCGTGACGCGGGCACTCTCTTCGGAAGAAACAAACCGCTCGATTCTTACCGACGACGCGTACTCCGATCTACGAGACAGAGAAGACGCTTGAATGTGTCCTTAGAAGGAAGCGGCGGACAAACCGGCGTGCTCGCGCTGATTCGCGGCCTCTCGCGGGCCAGGTTGATCGTGTCACCGAGTCGTAAGGAACAGTCAACACGACGTTAACTTTCTACAGTATGGAGCGGGGCGGCGGGGCCGGGGGGAGCCTCGAACTCGCCGGAGGCGGAGGCGGTGGCGGCGGAGGCGGCGGCGGTGGCGGCGGCAACGCGGATCTGTGTCTGCAGGACCTCGTCATCGGGCCGACGAGCGGCCTCTCGGTGCAGCATCATCAGCACGCTGTCGCAGCGACCGCCTCGATGGCCGGCCTGCACGGCGACCATCTTCAGGGCGCGATGCACCACCACGACCTCCACGGCAACTCGCATCACGACACCTCGATGCTGCACAACTCCAGCCACCAGCTGCATCACGAGCCGCTGGAGAAACTTAAACGTGGTGAGTCGTTCACAATACTAAAGATATTACCGGCGCCCGCCGACCTCCACGTCCATTGTGATGAATTTAACGCGATAATTTATGCGCCATTTATTTACGGATCATGTATCATCGCCCGCCTGTATTTACGGGCCAACACGGCGCACCTGATATTTTCATGAGAATTAAATTGCATCTATTGTTGGAGACGTTATATTATCTTGTAGTTTTCTTAATCGCTCGGTTTCGTCGCTGTTTAACGAGATGGCACAGGAAATCGTTACTTAACACGGAGTCAAATAAGCTTCAGTTACAAGAAAAAAGGTATTAACGCGATATTTTATCGTAAAGCACTAGATCTACTTTGATATTCCTAGTCACCTACACATAAATTCTTCTTCTTCTTCTTCGAGTATTAAGCTTAAAGCCTGTTTTATCTAGTTCGTTCTGGTACTTTGAGCATTTGGTTTTACTTCATCTTCGGTAAGCCTTGCCGAAGAAAACCTCCAATCTGTAGGGCTAACTCCCTAAAGGGTATGTGTGGCGGGATATTCTCGGTGGTTGCCATTTCCCTTCGGGAAATTCCGAAAAATCCAGCGGTGTCCGTGGATTTTAACTCGAATCTTTTCGGTCATTTCTTTACTAAGCAGCGTACATTTCTCTGCGCCACACTCGCCATACGTAAATTGTCAAAAATAATTAACACAGTTAGCAAATGTTATTTGCTCGTTTAAATCAGGATTGAATAAATAGCTTTATATCTAACATTGCTTTCCATCCCTTACAATGTGATAAAGGCAATTTTTCAGTCAGCAGAGTAATATCTTCATGTATAAAGATATTAATTTAAGCTCAATAAGGTTTAATGTAAGATTTATGTAATCGAAATATTGCTGCATCAAATGCGCGAGATACAACAAATCGCATCGCATTCCGTAAGATCATGAAAGGATCAAGTGCGATAATATCGTGGTAAAGTGGCTTCGCGAATGAGTTCGGTAATTATAGTCGACGTTGTTCTCGCGAGTATCGACAAGATACGAGACTCACTTTTTCCACTGTCGTCGCATCGCACGTTATCGCAATATAATCGCGTGTAGTTGACTTGTCGCAGTGCTTGATTTTATTGTTGACGATACTATCGATCCTCATTTATTCGCGCGATAAGTGCCCGACGTGTTTCCTGACTTTGCGCCGCGCGAGACCTGCGTTTATCGTGCATCTCCGCCGAAAATCTCATATCACCGATGCGTCATTTGCAAAATAAGATTGATACGCGTCGACGTTGCGCAAAAGTGGGAAACTTTCTTTATTCGCCGTCGTTTTCGCCACGCAAACGCCGCGGCGACAAACAGACACGGCGACAAACAATCGGAGTCGCGAAATAATTCGGCGAGGAAAACGGAGAACGTTCGTTCGATTCGGCGTGATTCAGCGCGACGAATCGCGACGTGACGCACGGTCTGAAATATTCAATTACACGGTACCTCGTCGCCGATAAACCTCGATAAGGAGGCAAAATTTAATATATTACGTCTCCCTCGTTGCGCTTTTATCTGAACCTCTATGTAATTCAGATGCGTTCATTGCAAACACTCCCACACTCTTGCAGGGGAAAACATCGAAGTGAGTGTTATTTCCGTTGTGATTGACCGCTGACCAATCGCAATCTATCATGTTATCGTACGCGCAAGCAAATCTCTCAAACAATGAAAGTCCTTTGACAGATAAGTATATAACCATTTAGCGCAAATTAAAAAGGAGGAATCAATAAACGGATATCCGCGCGTTACCCGGAGACGCGAGCCGTTTGAAACTCGACATTTTTTTCCTTTCTTTTCAATCGTAATATCAGAAGAGACTCTTGTCTGATGAAACGACGTTGATTCTTGTCAAGTGCCGGGAAGATAAAATTTTAGTAAAGCGCGATAAGCACCGCTCACGTTATGTTATTCCATCCACGATATTCCATCCACGATACGAAGCACCAGATAAAACTGCGTGCCCATTGAATGGTAATACGCCGTCGCCAAAAACTTAACACTCGAGAGTACACGCTCGTCCATTTTTACCGTAAATAAATAATTTAAATATTATCCAATTATTGCGAGCGAATCCTGGCCGAGGTAATATATTTTGCCATAAATTTTCTATTTCAGTACAGGGGGGGGGAAGGTTTTGTATCGAAGTGCTAAGGACCGGTTATTTCAACCTCTTGGTAATTTAACTAATAGTCAAATCATATGTATGTCTTTTCCCTTTAAATTGGAAAAAGATAGACATGTAATTTAGCTAGTAGTTAGCTTACCAAGAGGTTGGGAAAAGCAACCAGAGCCGCATATCACATAGCAAACCCAGCGATAGCAACATGAAACAGCGTGGACGACAAGTACAGCTAGCAGAGAGCAAATAAGTAAAAGGCTACAACACATATATATAATTAAAATACACTAACCAAGAGGAACAGATATCTAATCCTTTTCCACAGAGAGCTAATAGCATTTCTTAATAATTAGATAAATCGTTCATCGATTTATAACACGTAAACTTTCTGACGATTCCGCCTAACGAAAAACCAGTGTTGTATGTCCAAAAGTAACGGCACGCGGGACTGTTTTGATACACGGTATATGAATTAACATATTAAATTTAAAATTATTTAGGCTACCTTTAGCTTGCCCGGACCTAAGTAATGATCTGGCGTTCTTGTTTCTATTCGATTTAAATATTATCTATTATTAAATGTGCTATTTTTCACGATTCGACGGATAATCTTGTTGAATATATTGTTTCATGTTTGAGATTTCTTTCTCACTGCTCTGTGACAAGTTCGCAAAATACTTAGTTTAAGATATAAATCAAATATAAGACCCGCGGAAATGCTTCCTTATACCGCGAGACTTTGATCGAGCACGTTGAGTATGTTCGTCGTGAGCGGACGAGTCAAAGCTGAGTTTCATAACGCTAGTCGTTGATTGTAATGTAGTGTCATTCGGGCGGACGGACGAATTCAGTCGTACGTACGGCGATCGTCGAAGACGACGAAGACGATCCTCTCTCGTGGCAACGCCACCACCTGTTTTGTGATTCATTAACTCACCGGCTTATCGGGATAAGGTAGACTTATCCGGGGCTCGAACCCGACACTGCGGCTAAACCCGATCTTATTCCAATGGCATCCTACCTATCCCCGTTTCGGTTCCAATCCTAGACTCGCGCCACCGGCTCCCACCATTTAGGATCGCGGGTTACTCTTAAGAAGAGCTTCATTTTTCTCGTGATTGTATCGAATTTTCCCCGGTCGCCTCTCCAACGATAAATCGTGTACTCGCGTCTACATGTGTAAATAGATTCCACGAAGACCAAATCCGTGTGTCTCGATTCACAAATCCGCTCGGCGAACCGTGCGCAAATTTACGTTAAATTTTACGATCGGACGGACCGCTCGCAACTTATCTTGCCGAGCATTAAATGCATTCTCAATGATTTTTCATTTAGCTGCCCCTATCATTATTCGAGCGGGCTCACTTTCGCATTATTTGTCGCCGCGCTTGATCGGTCAACAGGTAGGACATTGATAAATTCGAGGCGGTCGCGGGCGAATTAAAATTTCTATCGTGGACGCTACCCCACATATTATTGTCATTAATATCGCGGCGGGATTACGCGAGCTCTATTAATATCGGCACGTCGATGGAAATTAATGCCAGCGTCGACCGCGATAAAAGCAACGCCGCTCTCTAATGAAAATGATGATGCGGAAATAGCGACGACCGGTCGGGCGATCGGATCGAGATTGCGAGCGAAAATTCGACGAGAAGAATCGCGCTGCGGAAAATCTGTTTTCCCCGTTCGGCCGACGGCATGGGCTCAATATTTTGTCAACAGAGCGGCATACGGTCTGCGCAGCCCCCGTTAGTCATTAACTACCCCTTTATTATCGCGCGGCCTTGCGATCGAGCCAGCAGATGCGTCGAAGTCCACCCTGGGTGCGTCTCCCTCCCCCGGACTAATGGTGTTGACAAATTGCTCGGCTAGCCTCTACTCTCCCCGGAGAATGCGCCCGCAAAAGTCTCCTCGCCGCGAACTTACGGGCGTTTAGAAACGCGAAATTGAACCGCGACTCCCGCAGATCGCGATCCCTCCATGCGGGATAAACTTTGCCGTCCAACGGTCTTAAACGAAACTTCCAATTCCCGAACGTGACAAAAGCGTCCTTGTAAAGGGCGAGATGCATTTCTTGAAACTCTGTTTGATCGAAACGCATTTGCAATGCCGTATTTAAAAGCTCAATAGTATGAAATACAATATTGTATCGATGCGTATAGATAACATATTTACTGTAAAGTTACTTTAAACCGCGTGCACATTGGAAAAGTTTTATTGGCAAGACATTAATCCCAACTTTTGGATCACGCAATGGGATAATTAGCGGGCATACCTTTCTGTATTCCACACGAATGCTTCTCCAAGTCGTTCACGATCGGCGGGCACGGGCGAGTCCTTCGATGAGCCGCGCTGATGTTCCGGTTCGATTTTCTCGATCAGCCAGCCAATCGTGGCGGTCCTTTAAGCGCCAGGGACCGAAATGGTGGGATCAACATAGAAATGAACTGATTTCCTTCCCATTATCTCAGCTGCTGCGGTAAGGCAGGTCTCTGTCTACCTCAACAACGAGGTTTTGTGTACTCAGTGGGTTCCAACCGCCGTCGGCTGTGGTAGGCTCTTTCCCGAGGGTTGTCTCACCGACGAAATTCCTGTGCGTGCCGATGTGTGAGAACTGTGAGCGGCGAACTGGAATGTGTAACAAATGTCACGATTGTTAAAACAGATGCTTCCGTTGTAATTGGATGTTATACCAATGAGTCAAAATATTTTTGTATCGTTATTCTTAATAAATTACACCTTTTCCGCTATTTATTTCGATATATTTATTCAATACACGCACGTTTCTAACGTTGATCTTTACGTTTCAAATATTTTATTATAATTTTGCGACCGTTGGAAAATCCAAGGAT